GACTTGATGATCTTAAAGGTCTTTTCCAACCTAAATCGTTCTGACTCTAGGATTCTAATGATGCACATAAGAAAGTCTTAGCAGGGGAAAAAAAAACATAATTAAGTACAGTGCTTGGACTCCGGCTACACAAGTCTCCCTTTCTTCAGCACAACCACAGTACTTTCTGTCTCTCCAATACCAGAAGCATTTAGCAGTGTAATCATGTGGAGAATCACAAGACTTCTGGACAACCAAGATGTTTAAGAGAGCAGCATTTGGGGGTTCCAAAGAAGGAGGTACAAGATAAGACAACCCTATAGGTAAGACATTGCTAACTTAAAGGAATGGTTCTTTATCCAATCTGAGCTAGTTTACTCTACAGCCTCAAACAATCAAGCCAGCCAATTCTCTGAAAAATTGTTTAAACTCAACTGTTCCATTAGTCTGCTCAGTACAAGGGGTTACAGCAACCAGAAAGGAAAACATCATGATTATTTTCAGTAGCGGACAAACTAGTCTTACAAAATACAGCTGTGTGTTTTTCTCTGCAGAGAGTAATGCTTTTTCTTTTCCAACAGCAAACTCACAGTTCAAAACGTGTTATTAAGCTTTCACCAATGTTGTTTGCGTCTCAAGAGCATAAAAGTTTAAGTGCCAGCCAAGCTTCTACCAGATTATTATGGACTTGAAAAGAATACGGTCGCTTTCTTACATCTTTCAGTAAACACCAGACACAGAATAGGGAAGTTTTCTTCCCAACTACAGAGCAGGTATTTCTTTATTCAGTACCAGTGAGTTGGTAAATATAATCTGAAAAAAACATCTTCTCCTTACACTTTAATATTATATATTTCATATAATTTTCTATTATTTATATCCCTATTTTCTGATTGTTTTCACAACTCTTTATTACTTTGTAACTATAGAAGCAGCATTTTTTCCTGCCATTATGCTGGTTGCACTTAGAATAGATCCAACTCTCTCCTTTCAGTCTCTAAACTGGACTCTTTGCCTACCTGTCTGATTCCCTGTCTTGTGTGGTACAAAGCAGTCACACTACAAGAAATTTCTGAGAAACAGACAGACATCTAACGATACACACCTTTGCAAAGTCTCACCAGTGACTAAGCCTGTTAGGCAATTATTTTTCTTCTTCATAGTGCTGGTTTCATTTCCCAGATACATCAGAAACCAACTAGCAGGCACTCAGGGGAAAAAAAAAAAAATCAGTAAGAAGTTTAGATATGCGAGAAACAGCTAAATAACACACGCATTCATGTTCTTCAGACTGTACAGAGACAGGACCTACAGTTTTGTCATCTGTTATTCATATAAATTAACAATCACTTCAAAAAGTTTGGGAAATTGAGACACATGCCAGGCCGAATTCACCTGGGCTGTGGGAACAGCTATGCTCAAAATTTGGCAGGGTCCTCGTCTGCCCAGGGTGTGGAAAGGCAGGTCCCTCCCCTCCCTTTCACCTGCCCAGATGTGTGCCTGACCCACCTGGGCATAGGCAGGGGCATCTCGATACCAGGTCTTTTCCCCTAAGAATGTAACTTGTATGAATAAAATTTTCTATTTCACACACTCCGGTAAGAAACATTTTGCTGAAATGTTCCCTGCTAAGTCTAAACAGAGACCAGCAAAGCCAGCAGACCGGAGTGGAAGAATGAGAAGCTGACGACACGCTTCTTTCTACAGCCGATCTACTGGTAACCGCGCTGCATCTCGCCTTTGTCACAGTCCAGGACGTGCAGGTCTCGCCTCGTTACGGGGCCCACGTATGCAAAAAGCACTCCAGGTCCTCCACTTTACATGTAGCTGGTGAAATCTTTAGGGAAAG